TAAGGGAATGGATACATGTGTTCCACTGGGATATATTATGCACCAACTTAAAAGTCACTCTGAGACATAAGGAAACATGAAACCTTACTTGATTTGAAATGATTTCTTTCATAAAAGTTTCTCTATTTTTTTATTCAATTAAGTATAAATGTTTTTATATTTATGATTCAATTAAGATATTTGTGTTAAGAAAAAATTTATAACATTATATTACATACCACCATCATGGTTAACCATTAAGAGACAACTGATGGCTTTAATATTCTTGGGGAAATGGATGAGGGAGAGCTGGGAGATCAGAAAGGCCTATTTGCACCAGTGCCTCCAGTTTTCGTGAATTAAAAGATCTAAATCAAGACCAATACAAACACCCTCTTGAACAGCAGCAGTGTTCTCATACCTATAATCAGGACCCATGCCACTATATACCAGGCCTATATGTTTAGTAATTGATTCTACTTTGTGTACACTCCTTTCATCATAGAGAATGGATTTCTGTTTCTTCTCAGTTGCCAACACCACACCATTTGCAGCTGGAAAGAAAAAGACATTTTTATGTTTATACATTCAATATAAAACAGTTATCAAGAGCAGCTGAAGCACGAAACAGTTTTGCTAGCATGTGAAAAATTTTCCCACCTTCCCATAGCTCTTAAGATTTACATTAGCATATTAAGCAGTCATCCTTGAGAGCAGCTACCCCACCATACATAGGTGCCGAGCATACCTCCTTCATCTCTTACCATTTTAAAATGTATATAAGGAAGTTGTAGCAATTGTTACATTAGGTGTAATTGTTATGTAAATTAGTTCAAAACTGACCTACCTACCCAAGGATTAGGAATCAGAAGAAAGATTTTTATGTCTATTAAATCTCCCTCTAAACTAGAATATTTACTCAAAATGTACGTTCCTCATAAATGTATCTTTGTACAGTATTTATATTCTCTTCAGCCTTCCCCTTTTTTAAATTGTTTCTCTGAAAATCAACTCTTGGAGATATTATGCCAACCAAAAGCATGTGAAAATTCATCTAAAATGGAAAAAAAAATGCAATTCCATGCTATTTTATAAATCACCTTTCCCTAGACCTCAGCAGAGTAACTAGGAAATATGCATTTTCAAATAGCCAAAAATCTGTTGAGATTCTCCTTCCAGACAATGCATCATACTAAAACCCAGAGCATTAAATCTAGCATTGGATTAGTCACATCTTAATATACCTCTGAAAATGTCTTATACCTTTAATTCCAACTGATGGGGCCCCTCCAGCAACTGCTGCCAAAGCGTATTCAATCTGAACAAGTTTACCAGAAGGGCTAAAAAGGAGAACACATACAATTCAGCCATAAGATACTTTATTAAGAAAATATTCTCAAGTCTTTATTTGAAAGCTAAACAAATGTTGTATATTTGTCTTTCACCTTTTGAGATCTAGCATCAAGTAAGGCAGATCACAAAGGAAAGTAAGTGTGGAAGTCTCACTCTAGCTTGTAGAGGACCTGGACTGGTTTACCATAGATTTTGCTGTTGCAGAATTCTGTCATGAATCTTCTGTGATGCCTACTTGCACTATACCTGATGAAAATTGTTTTCTAGAAACCAAGTAAAACATAAAGAAGCAGGTCCCAAAAGCACGTTCCCTTCTTTTCAACTTTACTCATTTTATTTTCAATTAATATGTAGAGCCTTGCAAATCCACGGGTATCCACTTTACAGCCATGGACCATTTTTGCAGATAGCAGCTTGGATGCGGATAAAATTTTTGTATTTGCACAGGGATCTGGAGCAGGTGGAAGGACCTAGACTTCCCACAGCTGCCAGCGTGGCTCTCCCTAACCAGGGAGGGGGTGGAGGGAGAGGCCGATGCACCTCGGAACCCCAGTCCAGCCATGGTAAGAGCTGGGGGGTCAGCTGTGGTGAGCCATGGCAGATCCTCCACCTGAGCAGCCCCCGGCCCGTGCCCAGGGCAGGTGGAGTATCCATGCCGCGGTTCCTCACACCTGCCCGACTGGCTCTTACTGTGGCCAAGCTGAGGCTCCTAGGCATACCCCCGCCTCCCCGCACTGGCGCCAGATAAGGGAGAGCCACACGGGCAGCTGGTACGGAGTCGCAGACCCTTCACCCACCCTCAGCCAGGCAGGGATACGGCCACTGGCTGCTCTCAGCCCCCACCCCCACGGCTGCCTAGGCTCCCCGGCTGGGCTCCACACTGCCACACTGGCCTGGCCGGAGGGCAAAGGAGGGGTGAGGAAGAAGAGGGGGACGGATCCGCCACTCTGAAAAGTGGACAGGTGAGGCCAGCCCTCCGCCCCAGGTCACTGCTGCATGGTGACCTGTGGAGCTGTTTAGAGCTCTGCAAATCCATGGCTATCTACAGATATTCACAGACAATTTTTGCGGATCGGATGTGGATATACATTTTTGTATCTGCACAGGTCTCTATTAATAAGAGATTTGCACTTAATTTAATGGTCTCACTTAGAAGCAGGGCATGGGTTCTTGGCAAACCCAAGGAAGCAGAAGACTCAAGAAAGAATGATTGTCACATCAATTTTTTTTTCCCCCTTGTCTGCTTTTACCATACAGATTTTTGAAGGAAGGTTTGGGCCACATTAGACAACTGAAAAATACTTATTCATCCTCATAGTCAAACTAGGGAATTTACTAGTGTGGGTTTACAAAACTGGCAGTTCAACAGGCCACCACATCAACCCTTACTGAATGGTAGTGAAAAAAAAAAATTCCACAGAAGGGTGAATAAAACAATCACTTGTTCCAGGCTTAAAGTGAATTTGTTTATACAGGGTCATCTTAGTGCTTACCTATTAGGCTTAAAATACCTAGACTTCTTGGAACAACAGGCAGACCTTCATCTAACCAAGTGATTATGTAAACTGAGTGGCCATCCAATGTACTGTTTATCTGATCTTTTGAATTACACTTTAAAACTGGTGGTCTTGTCCTCTTTTTGTGGACATCAAAGAGAGCACTGTACTTTTTGTAGGAATAGAAGTCAGCCCTATGTACTTGGCCAAGTCTTCCCTTCACCCAACCACCCTTTTACAGTGTGGTGTATAACAGCTAGTTGCAGCCTTCCAGCCCAGAAGTGGCTGCATTTAAGTGATGCTAAATGTACGTAGTTTGTGAAATTTTTTAGGGGACAATTATATAGATATAATATTGATATGATGTTTGTGACCCTGCAACAATGGGTTTTAGAGAAGTGACCCAGCAAACAAGAATCTACTCCTATGCTTTTGCCTATGAATTATAAGAGAAGTAAATACTGCAATATGTATTTTGAGCTCTCTACACCTTGTCCTGAACAAAACACACACAAAGGCTATGACCATCGGCAAATAGATCCATACATATAATACTGGACACTACCAAAGTGGTTTGAACATCAGCTTGCACAAGAACAGATTTGTTTTTGGACTGTGATAATGGCATAAAAACAGTAAATGTGATGTAAAGGATAGTGACTTGTAGTATTAGTTTTTACTTTGGGGGGAGTGGGGGTGGGGAAAGAGAAATAATTTAGAGAAACAAATGCCAAGTAGATTTGAAGTAAGTTTCAGGAAATACAATAGCTGTTGTGAGTTAAAAGGTTTGCAATTCCACGAGGAAATACGATTTCCAAACTGTGGTGAAACATTCAGTACATTAAGCTACAGATCTTAATGTGTTTAATATGCACATCCAAAAAAGCCCCCCTAAAACAATGAAAGGGAAATTCTATATTTAATACAGAAATGTTTCATCTGCTGTATTTCAATAGAGCTTCAGTCAACACTTTGCTATAATTGAGAAAGTGCCCACATAATCTTATTGGAGGGAGGTACTCTAGAGTTGCAGATTCCTGCTTTCGGTTTCTGTTTTTGTGCTTCCGTGGAGTGTTTCTGGTTACTCTGAAGCAGCTTTCTTAAAAACAAGTCTGCTTCCTCTGTTGGTTTACGTGAAGTGGGTATTTCTGAGCAGAAATCAAGTTTTACAAAACACAAATTGAGCCAGGGAGGCAGTCTAGCGCGGCGGGGGTTTGGATTTTGTTTAAGTTTGTTTTTAACGTGTCCGTCTTCCCTTCCCACTACATACAAGTCCACGCACCCAGAGCAAGCTGCCTGCCCCGCTGCAGCCAGACAAGCCCAGGAACCCCACTATGGAGTCGCGCTCCAACCCGCTGTGAAGGACTCGGGTCACTTTCTAAATCGGTCCTCGGGCAAGCAGGGTCCGGTTTCCCCAGCTACTGCCCGTTCACAGAAACCCCTCGCTGACCCACATCGGCACCGCCGCGGGGCCAAACCCGTCCTCGGGGCGGGGAGCGAGGCCCCGGCAGGCTGGGTTGGGGCCTGGTTACAGCGGCGCTGGGCTCCGCTCACAGCAATGGCAGCGCCGGGGTGTCAGCGGCAGAACCCAGGCGTCCGGCTCCTGCTTCCCGTCGAGCCAGGGCGGCCCGGCTGAAAAGTGAAACCTCCTCGCCCGCCGGCCCCATCTAACTCCCGCGGCCAGAAACCCGCCGCCCCCACGCCAGGGGAAGGGCCCGGGATGGAGATGGGGGAGGGGGGCGATGACTGTGCAAATCCCACCCCACGCTGCCGCCCGCCCCCGGCCACGAGCCCCCGCCCCCCGCAGCAGCGCGGAGACCGGCACCGCCGCCGCTTCCACCTCCCCGCCGCGCCCCACCTCGCCGCTACCTGAATGTGGTGAGGGAGAAGCTGTAGCCGCGTTCCGCCGCCATCTTGGTCCGAGCCCCGCTGCAGCGCCGCCGGCCTGAGTCACCTCCCCGCGTACGCCGACTCCGAACCCTGATTGGCGGAGACGGGGATGCCGGGAATTCCCCGTTTTCACGCGCTAATTAGCTTCCCTGGGGCGATCGCGAGACATGCTGGGGCTTGTAGTCCGATGGCTGTGTGGAGGGCTGCGCAGAGAATGCTGGGAGTGGCAGTCCTGCGCCCTGGAGCTTGGCGGGCGCGAGAGGAGTAGGGGACTCGCTTTCCCAGGCTGCCCCGCGGGCTCTCCCGAGACCAAGCGGCCTCTCCGTCTGCGCCGCGAAGGGAAGATGGCGGCGCTGGTGGTTTTCTGGTCTCCGGCGCGCGGACTGCGCGGGCTCATGCAGCGCTGCTGGGGACAGCTGGAGCGGAGTCTCCTGCGGGGGCTGCCCGCCCCCCCCTGGGGTAGGTAGAGCCCGGCCAGGCTTTCAGCCCCTTGCGTCGGCTCCCGGCATTGCCCCCGTCTGAGCTGCAGGCTCCCGAGCTCTTGAGGCTGCGCTGCCCGGGCTGCGCGCCCTCCGTCCCGAGCTCCTCGTTTGCAGGACCTGAGAGATCTGCCCTCCCGCTCCCCCCAAACCGGGCATTATCGTCCCTGCCTCGCCGATGGGGAGCCGACTAGGCTCCGCGAGAGCAAGTGACTTCCCTCCGGGCACACAGGAAGTCTGTGGCGGAGCCAGAACTGACCCATTTCCTCTCAGCCTCGGTCCAGTAGCTTAGCGAGACCATTTCCCCTCCCCAGTCCCGTTTCCCTTGCAGTGCGCGATGGATGCCTGTCTGATCATGTGATTTCTAGCCAGCAAAGGGGCGCAGTTCTGGACCAGCTTTCCAAGGGGAGATGTGGGGGCAAGCAAGCTAACTGGGTTCAATGTTGAGCTTGATAAGTTCATGGAGGGGCTGATATGAGGATCCTGCTTACAATGGCATGTAGCCGATCTGTGACTGCTAGCAGCAGCTGTGATGGGACGCTAGATGGGGATGGTTCTGAATTACTACAGAGATTAAGCCTTAAGTGTCTGGCTGGTGGGTCTTGCCCATGTGCTCAGGGCCTAACTCATCACCATATTTGGGGTCAGGTAGGAATTTCCCTCTGGGTCAGATTGTAGACATTTGGGGGGGCGGGGGTCGCCTTTCTCTGTAGTATGGGGCATGGGTCATTTGCAGGTTTAAGAGTGGATTCTCTGTAATATGGAGTCTTTAAATCATGATTTGGGGAGTTAAGTAACTCAGCCAGAGGTTATGGGTCTATTACAGGAGTGACTGGGTGAGGTTCTGTGGCCTGCAATGTGCAGGAGGTCAGACTATATGATCACAATGTTCCCTTCTGACCTTAAAGTCTATGAGTCTGTAAATCCAACCATGGAGACTACAGTAACTCCTCACTTAAAGTCGTCCCGGTTAAATTTGTTTCGTTGTTACGTTGCTGATCAATTAGGGAACATGCTCGTTTAAAGTTGTGTAATGCTCCCTTCTAACGTCATTTGGCAGCCGCCTGCTTTGTCTACTGCTTGCAGGAAGAGCCCCTTGCAGCTAGCTGATGGGGCTTGTAACCAGGGTGGACTGGCAGCCCCTCTATCAGCTCCCCGCTCCCCTAAGTTCCCTGTGCAGTAGCTGCCTGCAGTTCAGCTGTGTCCCTCCCCCCACTGCCATGTGCTGCTCCTGCTCCTGCCCTCTGCCTTGGAGCTGCTCCCCGAGACTCCTGCTTGCTGTGCCGGGGGGGGTGGGGAAGAGGGGGACTAATGTCAGGGTGTCCCCCCCTGCTCCTGCACCCCGCTTACCCCATCTTCCATAGAGCAGGGCTCAGGATGGAGGGAGCTTGCAGCAGCTGTGGTCTCAGCAAGCTGATCTAATTAACAAGGCAGTGTACTTATGGGAATGCGCATATCTCTCTCCATTCCTGCTGCCTTGTAGAGTGAGAGAGTTAACCCTTTTGCTAGTTCATCATTTAGCAGTAAGGGAAATATCAGCCAATTGCTAGTTCATCATTTAGCAGTAAGGGAAATATCCCACCCTCTGACTCCTCTACCTCAACCAAGCTTCACAATCATCATCACTGTGTACCAGTATTAAATTGTTTGTTTAAAACTTATACTGTGTGTGTGTGTGTATACATATATATATATATGTCTTTTGAAAAAACTTTCCCTGGAACCTAACCCTCTCATTTACATTAATTCTTATGGGGAAATTGGATTTGCTTAACATTGTTTCGCTTAAAGTCGCATTTTTCAGGAACGTAACTACAACGTTAAGTGAGGAGTTATTATTTTTAGAGATATACCTATCTCATAGAGCTGGAAGGGACCTCGAAAGGTCATAGAGTCCAGCCCCTTGCCTTCACTAGGCAGGACCAAGTACTGATTTTGCCCCAGATCCCTAAGTGGCCCTCTCAAGGATTGAGCTCACAACCCTGGGTTTAGCAGGCCAATGCTCAAACCACTGAGCTATCCCTCCCCCCGAGTTACTGTATTGTCATCTGAAAGACTGGAAGAGGTCAGTTTACAAACATGCGTAACCACCCACATTTTCATCAGCAGAATTGAATCTAGGGAAGAACTAGATTGTATGGCGGTAGTCGTGTGTGAATAGGAATCTTAACTGTACTTTTTGCGAGTTTTGTAGGTTTGTGGCTTGTGTTTTTTTGTAGTGCTACAGTTCTTTTCAGAGATAAATAAGGAGACTTAAAGTGAATGTTTCCTAGTTTTCTAATGTTAGAGTTTAGGGTTTTGAAGTCCAATCTTCCAGAAGGATATGGGAAAAGAAGGTATTGTTCCATAGCAAAAACCTGAACTGTGTGTTAATGAAGTTTTTGTAATTTAATTCAATCTTTATATAGTCCTAGAAATTCTCCTTCTTTTTATAACATTACAAGTTTAACATTTATTAAGTTAAGAGGTCAGCAGAGCCATGCTCATGTAAACTGCACTATTTTAATTTGCCATGTAACATATTGCAAAAGCATTGGATTCAATTAACTGAACTCAGTAGTTGTAGGCTATTTCTGACGCATTTTTTTTTCTTGTTTTCTGAAGCACCAGCATTGGCTGTTCAGGCTCCAGCTACTCTTCCTGATCCACTGGAAGATATTAGGGAAGAAAGTAACAAGGCTCCAAACTTTTTAGATAGCATCTTTTGGATGGCAGCTCCCAAGAAGAGACGTACTATTGAAGTGAACCGCTGCAGAAGAAGACATCCTAGTAAACTTATAAAACTCAAGGTAATCTGTCAAATATCTATTAGCTTTGCCATCTCATTCATTGCAAATAACTTTTTTTAAATAATGCAGTATGTTTATAAAACACTTACTTTGTGCTCATCATTTTCTAAAGCTCAAAAAAGATAATATTCCTTGATGGTGAGAACTCCTTGAAAAACCTCTCTGGAAATTCTCTATAAATATATTTAAAATATTTATGCCACTTAAAGTACATCCTAAATGTTACATTCAAAATATGCAACCTTAAACTACATTTTAAAATAAGAGTACAGTTGAGATCCAAACCAATAAAATATGAAATCTTTTTATACATCTCAGTGTGAGTGAAATGGCTAAATATCCTGCATATGAAGATGAGCTTGTGTGTTTTGGAACCCAATCCTGCAAACATTACCAGGCGTAATACTTTAGCCATTGACTTCAAAAGGACTTCTTGTCCCAGTGATCATTTTGTAGGATCAAGCCCTTAACTTTTGGCCTGAGAATCTATACATTTTGCAAATTGGTAAGAAAACAAAACCCCAAAACACAAAGTTGATTCACTTAGTTTGGTAAGTGGTTAGTTCATAATTTTATACCTGATGCTATACAAATAAATGGAACTGTGGTATGTTTTAAAGTCTTTGTAATATGAAATTGCACTACAATTCTCTACTACTAAATCTTTGCTTTTAAGTTTTTAAGTGGGGAGAGATGCCAGGTTCTTTTTTTATTCTGATGAGTAGTAGGCCTGCATATCAGTAAAATTGGATTTTGCATGGCAGTATTCCATGTGGTTGCTTGTGGGAAAATCATATATCTCACTAAAATTGAAATGAGGTTTAATGGAACAAATAGCTATTGCTCATTACCTTCACCCCACCATCTCTTAGCATTTTATGAAGTTCTTCCCTGTTTGTCCCAACTTCTTCACTTCTAAACTTCCCTTGTTTTGTTATCTTTTAGACAAATATAGATGTTTGTCCTGAATGTGGCAATCTGAAACAGAAGCATGTCCTTTGTGGCTATTGTTACAAAAAAATTAAAATGGAAACCGGTCTCATAAGGATCCAAATAAAGGAAAAGGAAGCAGGGCCATTTAATGCTCCCACTGTTGAGACTGTAGTCTTGTATGAGGGAGAGAAGCCCACAGAACAAGATGAAGGCAAGCGGATCATTGAAAGAAACAGAAAACGTCCAAGCTGGTTCACACAGAATTGATTCCATGGAACTATAGAACTCCATGTGGTCAAAAACAGTTGATACTTCAGGAAAGAAGAAAATGTTTATCAAGAACATTCATTTTTTTAGTTCACTTAATGCTAAGATGGGAAGCTGTCACCTTTTGGAAAACCTACTTCAAAAGCATTTCCTTTATGTGGGGTTGAATGTCATTGCCATAGTGTGGCAGTGGGAAATATCTGAATGTAATAGCATCGTAGTTGTAAAAAGTATGCTTTAATGCTATACTACTGTAAATTTAAGTGGTGATTTTTACGTAATGGCATAATGTAAAATACATTCACAGCTGTAAAATAAAGTATATTCTGTAGGGAGAGCTGTTCTCTACTTTTTTTAATTATTTATTTATTTATTTTGACTGCTACTCTGAAAAAGTTGTCTGGCTTTTCAAAATTCTTTTGATTAGATGCCAAGAATATGAACTGAGAAAAATCAACTTAAAAAATGTATGAAGAGCATGGGGAGCAGGGGTAATTTTCAAGTTGGGTCTCTATGAAATGGAGTTGTTTGAGCTTGGAATTTCATTGAGTGTTTACAGCAAGTCATCTAACATCTCTGTTTATCAAGATGTGAAGCAGAAACTTATCTTAGAGGGCTATTACGTGGCCTTTAGTAATTGTAAAGTACTTTGAAATCCTTGGATGAAAGCACAAACATTAATATTAAGTATACTCACTGGAAACATATTTTGTAAGGACAATAGCAAATGGCGGGCCACAGCCATAAGACTTGATCAGGTAAGCCACAGCTGAGTGATCTGTAGTTGTCCCAGTTGACCAAGTCCCCACTGTTTTGAGGGCCAATCTGCATTCTCCATGCTGAACTTTTTTGGGATGGGAAGAAGAGAGTACTTCTTTGCAGTGCATATGATGCACGGCTCAGGCTGTTGTTACTCTCTGCAGGGAGGATGCAAAACCACCCTCCCCTGGCAACTGTTGCTTTCTAGTGCCTTCAGTTACAGCAGTCAACTGAATCCTCACTTTTCCCATTACAGTGGTGATCTTCTATTAAGATTGAGACTGACTCACTGTTTAAATATGGATTTCTCCTCTCCCCTTCCCCTCCTCCCCTCCCCCCCCCCCCCCCCCCACGGGTACTCTAAAATGTTGCACTTGCTTTGGATTATCTTGAAAATTGATGTGTTCCATGATGGGTCAGGGAAGGGTTAATGATCCAAATTTGAAGTCATTTAAGCAAAGGATTCCTGAGATATAGCACACATCCCTGTCCCCTCCTTGAAAAATGGTACATCTCAAGAGGCCTGAGTTAAAGTTGCAGAGTGAGGCTGATCTGTAACTTAACTCTTTATTTCTTAGTTTTCAGAGGTTTTAAGTGTAGATGTATTCAGAATTCTGGAAAGGCATGTGACACTGCCAGTTAACCTTAATTGTGTTAATTTACGTTTTTGGGGCTATGAATGGGCTTCCACCTAGCTGATGACCTCCAAACCCAAAGGACTGGGATGAGGACAGGTGTAAGGGTGGGATATCCTCAAGATAGATCATGCAGCCTGACCTGCAAACCCTCAGGCCAGAGAAGGAATGAGTGATGGTGGAGGTGAGCCAACGGTCACAGCATGGCCCTATTCAAGCCAGAAATTACTTGAATCCTTTCTTTTGTGTCCAGCCAAAAACCCCTCCAAATCCCACCAGGTCTTTCTGACTCCCCAGCCACAAATGAAGCCAAAGAAATGTGGAATTACAAGAGTGCAACACAGAATGGAAGATTTTTTTGGTGCCAAAGATGGAAGGGATGAGGAGGAAGGAGATAGGGTGGGAAAAGTGATTAGATTATTTTTTCTTTTTTCCCCTTTGAGGGGAAGATACAGATTTGTTTTGGGGAGGGATCAGAAGAATAAGTTTGTTTTGCCTGTCAGTAGGATTTTTAGACCACTCATGTACAGAGCCTAGAGTTACACTTTGCTATATTTTTGAGTGATGCAACATAATGGACAGAGAGGTGTTACAATAAACTGCTGAACAGAAATGTGACAGAAGTTTGAAAATCTCTGATAGAGATAATATATCAACATCTTTACGTTGTATTTGTGTAACCTGAAGTGTGTTGACCATTTAGTAAAGTTTTGTAGTGGTTTGGTTTGGGGGGGAATCTAAAATGCTCGTCGTTTGGTGCTTCTAACGGCAAAAATCACAATAATTCAGATGTATTTTTGAGTCACAGCATTAGCTCATGTCTGGCAGAGGTGAATTACAAATGGATACAATTATAACATTCAAAAACCAGTTGGAGAACACTTCAGTCTCCCTGGCCACTCCATTACAGACCTAAAAGTCGCAATATTACATCAAAAAAACTTCAAAAAAGACTCCAACAAGAGACTGCTGAATTGGAATTAATGTGCGAATTGGACACCATTAAATTAGGCTTGAATAAAGACTGGGAGTGGATGGGCCATTACTCAAAGTAAAACTATTTCCCCATGCTTATTTCCCCCCCCCCCTACACTTCCTCACATCATCTTGTCAATTGCTGGAAATGGGCCATTTTCATTACCACTACAAAGGGTTCCTTTTCTCTCCTGCTGATAATAGCTCACCTTAACTGATCACTCTCCTTATAGTGTGTATGGTAACACCCATTGTTTCATGTTGTGTGTGTGTGTGTGTGTGTGTGTGTGTGTATGTATATATATCTTCCTACTGAATTTTCCACTGCATGCATCTGATGAAGTGGGCTGTAGCCCACGAAAGCTTATCATAGAATATCAGGGCTGGAAGGGACCTCAGGAGGTCATCTAGTCCAACCCCCTGCTCAAAGCAGGACCAATCCCCAGATAGATTTTAGCCCCAAATCGCTAAATGGCCCCCTCAAGGACTGAACTCACAACCCTGGGTTTAGCAGGCCAATGCTTATGCTCAAATAAATTTGTTAGTATCTAAGGTGCCACAAGTACTCCTGTTCTTTTTGCGGATACAGACTAACACGGCTGCTACTCTGAAATATGCAGAGAGGTAATGAACTTCATGAGAAGTGGGATTCACTTAGCAAGTGAATTCTAACAAAGGGCTCCTGCAAGCTCCTTATGTATATTGATTGTCCAGAGCTGATGGTAATTGAAACAAAATATACTTATTTAAAGCACTAGGTGGCAGAGGAGCTCTAGATTTCTGGCACATGATAAATAGTAGCTGAAGATATTTCTGACTGATAAAGACCTGAAGAAGAGCTCTGTGTAAATTCGAAAGTTTGTCTCTCACCAACAGAAGTTGGTCCAATAAAAGATATAATCTCTCCCACCTTGTCTCTAATATCCTGGGATCACCACAGCTACAACAACTCTACATAATACAGTCAAAGTCAGCTTTAAGAAATACATGTCTGAAGAAGTGACAGATGTGTAGATAGACAATTTGATAACTACAAAGGAAAAATATGATAGTTGTCATTGAACACAAGGCTTATCTACAGCAGTTCATTGTTTTGTGTCAACTCAATTAGGCCTATGCCAAGAAACTTTAATCCATGGGCCTATGCATTTGTATATGCTTCTGCTTACAACTGGATGGATTGTGAAAACTGATCTTGTATTTCAGTTTTCCCTACTTCTTTTTTTTTAATCTCAAATATAGATGCCTTTATAAATTCTGCTGCTTGTATGCTGCACATGCTTGTCATTGTACTTATACAGCCAGAGACATATAAGTAACAGGTCACTGCATGATAGCCTTATTGCAAGGAATTTCCTTAGACAAATGTGGGTTTAATGATCAAGGAGTGGAGGGAATGGTGAAAAGATCATGAAAAGTGTTCAGAGGGATTGTTCCTCAGAACTGAATTCAGCAGGAGCAGCACTTCCTTATAGCCCCCCTTATCCCAACCTATATTGAGTCACTGTCGGAATATGCCATCCTGCATGCCCAAGAGAGAGTGAAATCTGGGAAAGAGACAGGAAAGGAACAGGCAGTGGGAGGGGCCAGAAGCAGAGTAGAGACAGGGTCAAGTTTTGCTATTGAAATCGGGGGGTTGCAACTTGCCTGGGTATTACTGAGACAGACTTTAATCCACTGTTATCTTATTTAAATGACAAATGCTGAAGGCTTGACACCTTGACTTCTCTTGGACTTCAAACCTGTGTTCTGTTCAGGGCCGGCTCCAGGCACCAGCTTCTCAAGCAGGTGCTTGGGGCGGCCGGTCGGGTATTCGGTGGCAATTCGGCGGATGGTCCCTCACTCCAGCTCGGAGTGAAGGACCTCCCGCCGAATTGCCGCCGCAGATCGCGATCGCGGTCTTTTTTTTTTTTTTT